GTGTTTTTTGAATATTGCATTGTGGTTGATTGTTTTTTATATAATGTATGTTGAATTATTTTTTTGCCGAATTGATATATATGAGTTGGTTGAACAGGTGTATATTGGACATGTTGATTGATTGAATAGGTTTATATTATTATTATTATTATTATTTTAAGCAACAACGTATTCGCGTAATACGTTTTTGGTCAAAATTGACTTAAAAACGTATTTTCACAATACGTTTAATATTTTCAGAAAATTATAATTAACAAAAAAAAAATTGAAAATTCTAAAATAAATTTTAGCAGGAAAACGTATTCACAACATACGTTTTAACAAAAACCGTATTTTGTTTATACGTTTATAAAGAAAAACGTATTCTAGTAATGTGTTTTTTTTGTGTTAATTAAGATTAATTATCTTAATTACGTTGTTTTAAGAAAACGTATTTGCAGAATACGTTCAAACAAGGAAAATGTATTCTGGTAATACGGTTTCATTGTGAAAACGTACTCTCGGAATACGTGTGTTTGATTTTTGTCTACAATTTTTTTTTTTGTCCACTTATTTTTTTTTAAATAAATAATTATTTCCAGACTTATTATTATTTTTTCTTTTTCTTTTTTGTACAAAGAAGGAGGCAAAGCCTAGGAAACTAAGACGTCACCCACCGAATCATGCATCAACTAAATATGAAAACTAATATACTAATCCTGAGTAGCGTTGATCCAACTATCAGCAACTGGACTCGCCACCACATTATTCCCATCCGACCACTCGATTCTGCCGAACGCGTTTGTACCGAGCCACATATGGGCTGCTACCACCTTCAGCATGTAAGCCTTCACTTCATTTTTTTGTCGGAAAACCAATGTTTTTGGAGTAACAGAAATCATGGCCGCCCGTCTCGGTGAAGATATCGAGACTCGGTATGTCAACCCATTTTCTCCCACGTTGGTGAGTGTCCTCCTAAAAACCACTGTGGTTTTACAATTTGCAGATGAGGGAATGGTGGCTGCAAAGGAAGGATAATTGAGGTCGTTGACGCTGTACAATTTCCCAGGATCGCAACGGAATTTGGTTGTTTTCCCTGCAAGGGTCTTGATTCGAGAAGAATTGTAATTTAATGCACAGAGGAAGTTCAGATAATCGTTTGTGGTTAGGTTGTAACTAGGCCTGGGTTGAGGGCGTTGACAGGGGACACATGCCCCGAACCATGATCGAACGGGTTGGAGGCGCTGCCGGTGGCTAGATCCAGCAACGGGCTCTCGTCCTCGTAAGTCGAGTAAGCGGTGGTCATGAGAGCTGAACGAATCGCGGCAAGTCTCCATTGAGGGTGGGCTGCCTTTACCAGGGCCGCGAGGCCGCTGACGTGGGGGCACGGCATGGACGTGCCAGAGATTATGTTGAATAGGACTTTTCGTTTGTCGATGTCTAAGCCCGTGGGACCCTTTGCATCTGTCCACGCAGCTAGGATGTTGACCCCGGGCGCAATGAGGTCCGGTTTTAGGATTTCGGGGGTGACAATGTTTGGTCCCCTAGAGCTGAAGGCTGCGACAACCGGGGAAGGCTTGACGTCCACCCTGGTTATTCCTCGCAACATAATCGCTCAATATACTGCACAATAATGCTATAAAAACTGCACACTAGTGTTTTTTGGATTGCTCGTCAGTGAGCGCCAAATTGAACATCAACGAACCGACATATAAAGTTTCAAAGCAAACTATATTTTTATATGTGGCAAATGCACAATAGTATTACACTGATTGCACATAAATGACTACCATATTGCACAATATCGATCAAAGTTGAACAGATAAAAAATTTCGATTCAAAATTTTAAATTTATAAGCCAGTTGAACAAACCAATTAATAATTATGTATTCTTGTGAAAATAAAACGAAATTTATAATGTGCGTGAAAATACACAATATTGTGTTTCTCACGTATTATTACTGTGCAATAAACTGAACTGTTGACAAGATATAAACCCGCCCCACAATTAAAATGCAACATATTAAATTCTAAAATTGCACCAAAACCTCCCTAATATATTTAATTTTCAGCAAGTCCTCACAAAAAACAAAAAACAAAAAAATAAAAAAATCACAACAACAATACACCCTAAAATTGAAGAGTAATGCTATGTGAACAACCTTGTTGACAACTTGGTTGACAACTTGAGATGTACGGTTGAGATGATCATAAATTAACGGTTAAAATTTGTTTTGACCTTAATTTATTATCTTTTTTTACTTTTGAATAAAGTGTTATAAATAGAATGTCCAAAACACCCTTGTAAATAGCAAGTATCCATTTATGATTTTTATCCCGACGTTAATTGTCTTAACATTCCGGATAAATTATCTATTCTATCTGACATATCAGCTAGAGAACGTTTCTCTGAAACTGATAATCTACTTGATTCTCCTATAATTAAAGAATTTTCTTTAATATGCATAGGATTTTTATTTCCTATTAAGGTTTTTCCTTTAGCTATATCAATAGCCCAGTGTTCTTCTAGAGGTGCTAACTCACAGAATGTTTTTTCTTCTACTGAACCAATATCCGAAAAGATATCTTCTAGTTCAATGTAAGATTTCTTCCTATAATCTATACTATGATGACTATTACTCAAAGCATAGCTTATAACATATGTGATACTAAAGACTTTGTCTCCAGGGTTCATTAAATTTTCTCTTTCAAAGTGGTGAATGAAAGACAAAGTTCTATCTAAATTTGCAGTTTGAATAGACATGCCAAATTTAGGATAAACTGTAAAGATAAACTTACCATAAGCAAGGTTTCCTCTTGCTGCTCCTAAGATACAGTCTTTTCTGTCATTAATTCTATCATCGATTAATGCCATTTTTATAGGGGTATCAATCCCTTCTTGAAATTCAGCTTTAAGCAAAATTTTTATTGCTCCTAGGTGAATTGTTGAAATTTTATTTCTTATAAGAGATGGAATTTTCTCTAGATTTTTTCGTATTTCTGCTTTAGTAATTAAAGGCAGGTATACGGTTCCTTTAACATCTCTTATGTCTACATGCAATTCTTGCGTGTTAACAAAATAGAAAATTTCATTTTTTCTTTTTAAGAAGTTTAACATTGGAATGTTAAAGACTTCTTCCTTTTTAAGATTTAACTTTGATTTTTGAATCTTAGTTAATACATCATGTTTTATTGCCAAACTGGCTTTAAAACCTTTTTCATTTTCATTAAATGAAATTTGTGAAAGATCACTAATAGAACATAGATCCTGTTCTATATTTTTGTTTTCATTATCTGTATTGGAACTCATATTCCAAACAGGTTT